GGTGGTATCTTCAAAGTGGTTTCTCAGGAAGACAGAGATATGCAAGAAGAATCTAACAAGTAGTTACAAGCTAGCCTATCTCAATCTTCCTCTCATCTTTAAGAACAGAAAAATAATTACCTACCTTTCAGAAATCTCTTGCTTCAACTGAGGAACTTCAAGCGCTGAATCAGTATCCACAAAACCAAGGAAGTCTTGCTTTATGTTAAGGGGAGGCTTCTCCAAACCCTTTGCTGATGTTTCATGATCCCTTGACATAGCATCAAAATCACTTGGATCTATTTCTGATCCCTCACCTTCTGTAAGACGGACCCGATGACCAGGAGAACCATTAATGCTACTGCCTTCTTGGTCAGAGCTGTTCTTTTGTTTTCCATCTCTGAGGGGCTTACTATTCAGGCCATCATCCCGAAAACCTTTGGCGAATGGATTGTAATCTATTTTCAGTTGGGTAATCTGAGTATTCTGATAAGCTGTTACTGCAAAGAATTCAGTCTGTGGGAAAGTAAAAGTGTGGACACCAGGGCCATTTAATTGTATCACTTCTGTAGCCTTTTCTGCAGGCACCAAATGAAGCCTTGGTAGGTAGCGATGCATAGAATGCAAGATAATATGCCCTTCTTGATCCAAAGTATTGTTGGTAAGCTTGAGTTTATAGAAAGATACTGGTTGATGCATCCAGTAATGACCTGTGGAAGGAGATTCTGGATGGATGAAAACTCTTCCCAAAATATGGGGCTCAGCTTTCCCACTGGGCTCCCACCAACGACCATTCCACTTATAGCGATGGTTATCCACAGGAGATATATCCATGACAAGTATATACTTTAAATTTGTATCTAAACCTGTTATCCAATAACGACAATAAGGAAACATGCGTCTTCCCTGCTTGGTCAGAATCATCTCTGTGCTTCGATTATGGAACTCATTCCACATACTATTATTATCAAGGGTGACAGTGATTCTTCCCACAGTACAATCAGCTGGAAGGCAAATCTTCCCTTTAGATTTTCCTGGTGATGACACCCTACTAGCCAAAGCACAAGCATCCCGATTGGTAACCAAAATTCCTTGATCAGTTTTGCCATTTCCTGGTTGTTTTAGGATGACAAAGAAGGTAGGTGCTGCTCCTGCCACTGTCCCACCATCTTGATTAGCCAATATAATCTGTTTCTCCTCCATGATTCCAGTGGGAAACTCAGTAGTAAGATAACTGCAGTCACCACATAGTCACAATGGCCTTCCTATCCTACAAACAAGCAAAAACAAAAAACAAAATCTTTAATGAATATTTTACTTAAAAACTACAAAAATGACAGTCATTCCCAAATTTTCCTGAATTCTTCTAAGACAATCCTTATACTTTTCTTTCAATCGCATAAAGATATTCATTACGGACTACCTAATTGTTCTAATATGTTTTTCCCATTTGTTTGGGTTTTTTTTTTTTTTTTTTTTTTGAGATGAGATCTTGCTATGTAGTTCTGACTGGCCTTCAACTCATTGTGAAGCCCATGCCGGCTTCACACTTGTGATGATCCTCCTGCCTCAGCCTTCTGAGCGCTGGGGATTACAGGTATGCACCACCATGCCCAGCTCCATTCTAATCATTTTTAGCTTCACTTTAATGTAATTAAAGTCATAACTTTAACCCTCCAAAAACTCACTAAAAAACCTTACAATTTCACATAAAAAGCAATAAAAAGTTTATTCACTTTAGAAAATCTATATAAAAATAAACAAATTTAAAGAGCTAACCTGCAACACTTCATGAGTTTGCCAAAAGATTCCTTTACATAGCCAAGTACTTTTGGGACAGGTAAAAAAAATAAAATCCCACTTCCATTCCAAACAGCACTTTCCAGAATTATTTCTTTATATAGTACTGACATGCTCTGATAAACAGGTAAAAAACTATCTCATTAATATACAATTTAAACAAGTCATGCTAAGTCATTGCAACTTACTGGAAAAATATAGATCTTATATTTTTAAAAATCCCAGACATGCCTAATATTTAACTTTTCTTTTAAAAGAAATCTCAACAGATTTTTTTTGGTAAGACACAAAACCAAAAGCCAACAAAAACAAAAACACTTGGGGGAGGGTACTGGGGATTGATCCCAGAGCCTTCACACTCCACTACATCTCCAGCTCTTTTGTATTTTTATTTTGAGACACGGTCTCACTAGGTTGCTAAATTCCCCAGGCTGGGCTGGAACTTGCAATTCTCCTGCCTCAGCCTTTCAGAATGCTACGTAGGATTATTGGTATGCACCATCATACCTGGCTACAAAAAAAAAATTTTTTTTTTGGTAGTGCTGGGGATTGAACCTAGGCCTTGCACATACTAGGCAAGTGTTCTACCACTAAGCTACATCCCCTGCCCTACAAAAACATTTTTGATAAATTCAACATTATGTAAATGTTTTAAATCTGCCAAAAACAATCTAAGCAAAATTAAAAAGCAACTAACTAGCCAGCAAAAGGTACATGTAACTTTCATCATAAGTAATTCATTCCTATAATGCAAAAACTTTTAGGGCTACAGATGCAGCTCATGGGGTGAAGGGTTTGCTTGGCATTAGCGAGGTCCTGGGTTCAGTACTGGAAGGGAGAAATACCCAGTACTGGAAGGGGGAAAAAAAACAAAAGCTTTCCTACAGATCAGTAAGACTGAATAACAACAAAAAAAAAGAAGAATAAGTCAAGAATAAGAAGAACAGTGGCTAAGAAAATACAATTTCAAAATAAGAGAAATGTAAATTGCACTGGGGATGTAGCTCAACTGGTAGAGTGCTTGCCTACCATGTGCTAGGCTCTGGGTTTAACCCCCAAAATGGAGGTGGGGAAAAAAATGTGAATTAATACCGTTCTAAAATAGTACTTTTTACTTATCAGACTGGCAAAAATCAAAGACTGGTGGTTAGAAAGGGCATAGGTCAATCAGCATTATTATCTAACCAGTTGCTGGAAGTCTAAAATGATAATCTCTCTAATGAGGTCAATTTGAAAATCAAAACTACAAATGCATATATCTATGACACAGCAGTTCTTCCAGGACTTTATCTCAAATATACCCACACCTATGATAAATTATATACATACAGAATCATTTCCTGATTCCCATTTATAAAACCAAAGAATGGAGGAATGACTATGACTAGAAACTGATTAAACAAATGATATATTCGTAAAGTGGAATTCTGTGCAAATATAAGACAATGCATTAACTTTACAGGTGCATATAAATATTATCCATAGGTATTTTAAGGGAAAAATGCTCAGAAGAGCTGCGGATTAGTTTAGGCTTGTTACCAAAAAAATTTTTTCCAAGCCGAAGAACAAAAAGAACACATACTATCTGCTTGAAACAGACTAACATGGGAAAGACAGAAAAGGAGCTGGTAGTACTGGTTATGTCCAAGGCAAACAGGTGGCGTGGTAAATATTCTTTGACACTTTATAAAGTTTACGCCTTGTGAACATACAACCTATTCAAAACAAATTAAAATCAGTTCCTTTTTTTAAGGTATCAGGGATTGAACTAGGCCTTTACACTGATCTATATGCTCAGCCTTTTACTTTTTGAGACACAACCTCACTTAAATTGTCTAGGTAGGACTTGAACTTATGATCATCCTGCCCCAGCCTCCTAGAGTGCTGGGATTACAGTAACGTGCCACCATGCCCATTTTAAGTTTTTTTTTTTTTTTTTTTTTTTAAAAGGCCATAAACTTATGCCTCATAAACACAAAACCTATTCAAAAAATAAAGGTAAGGGCCAGGAATGTAGCTCAGTGGCACAGCACCCGCCTGGCAAGTAGAAGGTCCTGAGTTTTGATTCTTGATACCGAAAAAGAAAACAGAAAATTAATTAATTAATTAATTAATTAAAAATAAAGCTTGGCCTGGTAATGTACATCTCAGAGGGGGCGGCAGGAGGATCACTATGAGCCACCCTGGACCACACAGTGAGACCCTGGTGAAAGGAAGGAAGAAAGGGTGGGTGGGTGGCTAGAAAGAGGGAGGGAGGGGTAAGGAGAAGGGGGAAGGGAAGAGGAAAAGAGAAAGGGCTATATATATTCTATTTATGTGAAATGTACAAGACAGGCAAACTTTCATAAAGACTTAGAGAAAGCAGATTAGTGTTGACAGGAGACAGGAGGGAAAACTGGGACTGCAGTGTTTCTTTCTGATGTATGTATTTTGGTTTACTGGCTTCTTGCTTTTTTCAAATATTGAGAATTGAAACCAGGGCGCACTGGGCTACATCCTCCAGCCTTTTAAAATTTTTATCTTGAAACACTGCCCAGCTAAATTGCTCAGACTGACCCCAAACTGTAGTGCTCCTGATTCAGCCTTCAGAGTTAACTGGGACTACAGATGTTATGCCACCACACCTGCTGGTAAATACAGTACTTTTAAATGGTGAATTTTGTTATGTGAATTATATCTCAAAAAACTATAAAGAAATCTGATTGTTAACCTCAAATGAACTGACCTGATATTATAGATCTATCACCTTCAATTAGTTTTTGTTGTGTGGGGGAGTTGAGACAGGGTCTCTCTATGGAGGTCAGACTGGCCTTCAACTCACTATGTGATCATTATGTCTAAAATGTACCAATAAAATCTGATTGAAAAAAACTGCCTCAGGCTTTTAATCACTGACTACTTTGTAAAACTAATATGCTTAGGCAATAGCTGTTAAAAACAAAACCAAACAGATTAATCACAAGGTGTGGTGGTATACCCCACTTGGGAGGCTAAGGCACAAGGGTCCCCAGGAGAGTTCAAGGCCACCCTGAACTATATGGTAAGACCTTCTCTCAAAACAAGAAAGCTCAGAGAATTCACAAAAACCTACACACCATTGTAGAGTTGTACAGTATGAACTATACATACCTACAAACTCTTAACAGGGCCAGGGATATAGCTCAGTGACGTAAGTGCCTGCCTGGCAAGCACAAGGTCCTGAGTTCAACTCCCAGTGCAAAAAAGAAAAAAACAACTTTGAAGATACCACCATGTATTGCAGCAGCCATTGATATTTTCCTACTAATCTATCCATAACTGTGTAAAGTTTGTAATGTTCCTATCCTATTTCATAAATGG